TCTTTGAAAAACTTAAAAAAAAAAAACCCAAAAAAAAAAAAAAAAAAGAGCACACATCATGGAGCCAGAAGGCACACAAACCAGTAGAGAATCTATAAACAAACCAAACACCTGCACTATAACCATACAACAATCTACAAAATAGTTAGAAAACAACTAGTAGAGTCATTAAATTAAATAATAATTTTTTTTTAAATAAAGATGATCACAGCAGCAAATCCATCTTTTATCTTGACAAATCTATGCAGTGCATTCACTCTCGTTACTGTTAAACTAACGCTGTATATCGTGCATGAACTGGATGGAGCGAGGCTGCAGGTTTCTCAAAGGATCAGGTCAGTGTTTGCCATCAACCTCGGTTCACTGGCACAGTGACGTCTGCAAACGTTCGCTCCAGGTGAGAAGATGAAGAAGAAGGTGAAGCTGTATTTGAAGATCAGGAATGGTTTGTCAAGTGGGTCGGGTTTCCTCATTGGTTCGTGACAGTGACGTGTTTGAAACGTGGGAGCAAACTAGTCAGCTTTAGTTATCCAAGTCCTGAGAAGATGATTCCACTTTACTTTTCTTTGTGGGTGGGGAACCATCTTCACTTTCCTAACAAAACACAAAAAGCAAAACGTTTTCTCACCCTCCAGTCATTCCCAGTCTTGATTATTTTCTTCTGACTTGACGGTAAGTGATGTTTTTACCTGAGTGTTTGTTGAGGTGCCTGATGGGGACTCCTTCTCCCCTGATAACGGAGTATCTGTTTTGCTTGTTGAGGTCTCTGAAGGGGTGGAGTTACAATTCCCTATAAAAATTCAACCACACTGTGATTCATCCAATTGTGATGCATCACATTTCTTTCAGATCTTGGATGCAATGTTTTTAATACCGTCTCTATGAAACTGTACTCACCCTCAGGCCATCCGAGATGTAGATGAGTTTGTTTCTTCGTCGCAACAGATTTGGAGAAATTTAGCATTGTATCATTTGCTCACCAATGGATCCTCTGCAGTGAATGGGTGCCGTCAGAATGGGAGTCCAAACAGCTGATAAAAACATCACAAAAATCCACACCACTTCAGTGCATCAGTTAACATCTTGTTAAGTGAAAAGCTGTGTGTTTGTAAGAAACAAATCCATCATCAAGATTCTGTTCTCAATCCATAATAATTGCCTTATCCAGTGAAAAAGTAATTTGGTCTGAATCAGGAGAGAAATATGCACAGATCAAGCACTGTTTACAAGAGAAAAACTGTTCTAAACAAATTTGTGGGTGGATTTTGATGTGAGAGGACAACAGGAGATGGACTTTTTCACTAGAGAAACTTGTATTTTGGCCAGAAGCAACAGTTTGAAGTTAAAATGCATTCATGATGGATTTGTTTCTTATAAACATGCAGCTTTTCACTTCACAAGACATTAATGGATGGAGTGGAGTAGTGTGGATTTTTGTGATGTTTTTTATCAGCTGTTTGGACTCTCATTCTGACGGCACCCATTCACTGCAGAGAATCCATTGGTAAGCAAGTGATGTGCTGAATTTCTCTAAATCTGTTACCACGAGGAAACAAACAGATTTAAATCTTGGATGACATGAGAGTGAGTACATTTTCAGCAACTTTTTATTTTAGGGTGAACTATTCCTTTTATTTGTGTAAACATGAAAGTGGTTTTTCGTACCTTTGTCAGGGGATGGCGTATGTTCTGCCTTGCACTTGTTTCCATCATCGTGAGCAGCAGCAGTGGCCTCTGGTGTCGGGCTCGTGCTACAGCTGTTCTCCATCTTCACTGGAGAGGAATCAGCTATTGAGCTCTGATTACTGTTCTCGTCTATAAGGGAAACCACAGCTTGTCATTTAAGAGTCAATACTGTCAAATTACATTATGCACAGCCTTAGAATCTTGGCATGGTTATGAGACTGACCGTGCATGTCCATCATTCCTGGAGAGGAACTGTTCTCCGGAGTCGTCAACTCTGATCCATATTTCTCCTCTCTGCCCTTCTTTTTTTTGTTATTCTGTTCAGAAGTCAGACAGAATATTAATGAACTACAACTTCATACAAAGAGAAAAGCATGCACAGTTGTCGCACACCTTAACACTTACATCGTCAGACTTTGGTTCAGTCACTGGAACCCATTTGAAGATACGCAGTGAAGTGTCTCCAACCGTCACCCATTTTTTCTCCCTGTGAATTGTTAAAACAAAGATCTGTAGCCCAAAAAGAAGTACTTCAATGCCTAAATAGCTATTTGGTTACTGGTTAAAATAGCTTACACGGCCTATGATTGTTTAAAAGGAAATCACATTCTGATTTGAAAAGCCATATATATTTATTGCAGTAATTAATACACACTGATGAATTGTGCACAATACGAATGAGTATTTAAAAAGTAAATAGGCCATTACTGATTTTGTGTTTACATAAAATAAAATGCACTTAAATGAACCTGATATATTTATCTGCAATGGCAGTACTTTTATAATAACAGCAATAGGAGCCATATGCAGTACAAATAATATATCTAATGTGAGATATTATATAAAAAATGAGCATATTAAAAAGACATATCCTATAAATAAAAAAGAGATTGAACCAAAAATAATATGCAAGCAAAAATGCCTGTGGTTACAAGAAAAGCTAGGTAAAATGTTGTGCTTCATAATATCAAAAACCTGCATTCCAAATTATTTTTCTATATAATGTCTAATTATTTTTCTAATAATGTCTAAAGATAACATCCTTTGTCTAAAAGCCACATCTTTGAAATGTTGCTTTAATGTTGTTAATGAAATATCAGGCATGCAGTCAGTCGCTCACTTCCCTGTCCCAGCCCCCACAGCGCTCCTTGTGTTCAGCTTTATTTGATGTAAAGAGACTGAGCTGCATTTCAACTCTCTGTGTGTGTTACAGCGACTGTGACTCCCGCGCGCACAGGTGAGTTTACCCAGCCTTCATCCCAAAACACAGATGTTACACATCACAGTGCGCCAAACTGCAGCGAGAAATGGCTTCATGTGACTGCAACGAAATGGCTTCTGGGTTCAACCCACTTCATCTCCATCAGAAACCAATGAAATCCCTCCAAAACATTCATTTTTTAGTGCATGGTGTCGGGTGAGCGCACAGCACCTGGCGTGCGCTCGAGTTCACTTCTCAAAAATGACCCTTATAATTTCACTCTCTGTCCTTCTCGTTTGTTCTTTCTCTCTCCTCCCCCACAATCGCATTTTTTTTCTCCAGTGGAACAAACACGGCTTTTTCCCCGCGATCTTACCATTTTCGTACTTTATCAATAGCGGCCATAACGCGTTTGATGTCATCTTTGGCTCTGCTCCGGGTCTCGGCGCGCACTGACCTGCCAGACATTCCCGCCGCTCGGTAATATTTTTAAGCTCGCCGGCAGTTCACACACACACACACAGACACACACACACACACACACACACACACACACACAATGCGCACACACACCGCATTTACAGCGCGCCTGCGCCAAATACACAGCGAGCGTAGTGCTGCGAGACCCGAGTGTGTGCGCTCTTTTGTTCTTTTGGCGTGTTTTATCCTTCGCCTAATTAGCGTGCAGTAATTTACGGAATCTTGCGAAGGTTGTTTTTAATGTGTGAGTTTGTCATTTGGTAGCTCCTTTTGTCAATAAGACAGTACGTTTATGAAACATTGAATGAAAACGTGATTTTATATCGGCATGTTATGATTTCAATATTAAAATCAATATTATTATTAGGAATTTTATATAGCCTACATGACTTAATACAATCATAACAATAATGATTTATGTTAACAATAACGTTTAACAATCTTAAATGTAGTTAATATTAATACAATATTAATAATACTATAATGCAATATTCTAATAATATCAAAATAATTAGCAATATTCATGATTTAATATACTCAAAAACAAAGACTTGCCTGAACTATTGTAAATTGAATAGCCTATGTTTGCTATAAAAAAGAAAGCATATAAAAAAAATTTTCAGTCCTAATAAATATTAAGTAAAAATATGCATGTTAAATATTCAATAAGTGAAAATATGCAGTAATAAGTTTTAAATTTTTTTTTTAAATCATAGGAAAATACAGCACAATATGACAACAACATAGGGTCAAACAGTTATATAAATTATAGTCACATTTAAGAAAAAAAACTTTGTTCATATCTAAAACATTGAATATTTCCAAATAGTGTTAATTTGACTATATTTCTATTTTTACAATTAAATAATCAGACAAAGCAAGAGGACTGTTGAAGACATTTATTAAAGTATTAGTGAAGTCATTTGTGTAAGTAATTAATTTATATAAACAGACTAATGTCAAGGGCATATTAAATGTTTATGAAGGTCACAAATCGATGATTAGGCTACATGAATATACATTAACAGCTATCGTTGACATCTGAATAAATATTATTATGAATTATAAAGTGTATGACTTTATAATATCAACACTACATAGTGAATATTAACTTAAGATACATTAGCTGATACTGTAACAGAACTGTGATTGTTCTTCTCATCGTCCTCCTCATCGTCCATTTTCTTTCCTAGAAGTTTCATGTAGACTTTCTTGAGGGATCCACTGAACGCTGGGCTGGAGAAATAGTAGACGATGGGATTGAGCACGCTGTTGAAGTAGGTAAAGCAGACTGTCGTGTAGAAAGCCACATTTGCATCACGGAAATACTGGCACTCACTATACCAGCTCTTCAACACCCAGACGGCGATACGGGAGACATTGCTCGGGAAGAAACATATAATGAAAACTAGAGCGACTGCTAATATAAACTGCACGGCTCTTTTGATTTTGCCCTGTGTGTCCACTGTCTTACTCTTCAGCTGCCACGTAATACAAGCCGTGCAGTAGATAACAATGCCGGTGGGTACAAAGAACTGGATAACGTAGAATGAATTGTGCCAGTCAGACAATGCATTGTGACCTAAACATATGTTGAAGCTCTCACATTGTGTGCGGTTATTTCGATAGTAGAAATGCTTGTCTGTTAGGAGGTAGACAGTCATGGCTATGATCAGACCCCACAGGCCAACAGAGACCCACAGTGCGTAGGTCAAACCCATTCGGTTGATGCGGTTGAGAGGGTGGACGATCTTCAGGTATCGGTCCACGGCGACAGCAGTGAGGAAGAATATACCTGCAGCTCTGTTGGCGGCCAAAAGAAAGAGCAAAATACGGCAGAAAGCATCTCCGTAGACCCAGTCCTTGCCCCGGCGGTAGTAGTCGGCCCTGAAAGGAAGGCAGAAAAGGACCACCGAATCTGCCACAGCGAGATGGGCAAGATAAACAGAATTGGGCTTCCAGGTGTCCCTGTGGAAGAAGAACATAGAGAGGGCGAGGACGTTCCCCATAAGGCCTAAAATGAATTCGACGAATAGTATCGGAGGTAGAACTTCATCCAAGATGGGTGCTTCGAAAGCGCAGCACTTTGAGGAGTTGTCCATGATTCTGATGCTGAGAGACTCTGAGAACTTCAGATCTTTATTGTTTGGTCTCAGTACTGAATATGCCAATGACTCCCCCAAGACTTGGTCTTAAGATGTTTGCTCCAGAGGCGTGGCTACGTGTGGGCAAGGGTGGGCAGTGCCCACCCAATTGAAAATCAGTCAAATTAAAGTTTTAGCTTAGATTGGCTTTTACATTTCTTTCTAAATTATTATTGGCTATTTAAGTCTTAAGCGTAGAAGAGGCGTAGTCGGGAACCTCAGGAGTCAACGCCGTTTAACGCTGGCACACAACCTTTTCTTTCAAACCGTGCAAGTTGTCTGTGCGCTTATTTTAAAATCTTCCAATGTAACTTACACACCTATTTTTGTTGAACCATGATTAGATTTGTTAGTGATTTTTTTAATTGTTGTTATAATTTACTTTAATGGTGTACTACTAATTGTAGTTTTGGTTTCAGTCATATACTAATGTAGCTGAATTGTGTATTGATGTGTGGAAGGGATGTCATTTACCCATCACTTTTTCTGTCTGTAGTTTCTCTTTATTTTCTTCTGTTGAAAACAGGGGAGGAAACCTTGCAGCAGGAATATTTAATTAAGCTCTAATTAAGTTTTTTTTATTTTGTCAGATTGTCAGCGCTGGAAGTGATGCTTCATGTTTGCCGAGTTGTCTTCTGTTTTAGATCCTGAGTTGGGTGAGTTACTCAAAAAAATCTATTACACATTACTAATTACTTAACTAAAATAGTGATTTGATTTATTATTTTACATTACTAGCAACTTTTAAGTAAAACCCCTACTAATACCTTTATACAAAGGGGCAAATAGCTTTACTGTAAAACCAGTGTGTCAGTGATTGTATTATCTTGTCTGTACATGTATGTTCACTTCTGTATGTGTCAAATTATTAATCTTTCAGAGAAGGGGTGCTCTGATTAGGTTTTTTGTAGCAGATAGAAATGACTGATTTCTTGTCGTTTGAATCAGTCAAAACAGATTATGAAATAGATTTTTTAAAAGCTTTTACGAGGAGCTCTATCATAATTATGAGTAAGCTCAGGTCACTGTTAACTGAATTAAAGTAATACCAGCTGTTGCATAGTTTTTTTTGAAAATGATATCCCATAGAGAAATGTAATATATATATTGCCCTATATCAAATATATTGACATATATATTAAAGATATTGACATATATATTACCAATAAGACAGTATATAATTTTCATATGTACATTCTTTGGGTAGATGAAGATATAAGTTGGTAACACATATAAAATCCCCATAGTAAAATTTACTATTAATTGTATATTATGTTAATAATATCTATATGATGTTTTTCTATATATGTCAACAATATTTAATTCATATACACAACTTTATTAAAACAACATAAATACAAAGAAATTATGTATATATGTTTATGTTTTATAATAGATTTTAAATGCATGTCTATCTGTTATATTTACTTATATAATATCAACACGTATTAATGGGTTTTAGCGTATATTTTCATATGCATGACATCAATTTTTGAGAATGTATTATACATACATAAGCACATATTTTTATGGGATAGATGTGTTAATATATGAAATAGTTCAAATTTTTAATTGGTTTTATATATGTTTTTACTTAATATGACAATATATTTCATATGTGGAAATGTAATATATGTACATTTGCGTATGGGATTATAGGTTGAGTATTTGATAATCAAATAAACAAGCTCAAAAAAGTATTTTATTAAATTATTTTAAAATAAATATTTTAATTTATATAAATAAAATGCTATTTATTTTAGCTCAGTGCTTTTAATAGGCTTAATTAAAACGCTGTTTTTAAGTGATGCCCATATATTTAAGCACTGCATTGCATTGCAGTTTTTATTGTGACAGTAGTGTTCCCCCTCTCTCACGCTCTCACTTGACTGTCCTATAAAAATAAGGGGGAAAATCTCCAAAAATTTATTCTATTTCTTTTCATATTGACTTTTGTTGTCCACCCCACATATCCAAATGGCCACCCCCAGGTGGCATCCTCATAACATCACTGGTTTGCTCACAAGCAAAGGGCGTAGCTTTAAGGATCCACATGGACAACAGACCCAGGTGTGGTTAGTAAATGGCCTCAAGGGGGATTTGTGCCTCTTATGGATTTAATAATCATTTGTGATCTGTTCATGTTTTTCATATCCTTTTGTAAGGGGATGGCGTCTGTTCTCTCTTCCACTTGTTTCCATCAGGGTGAGCAGCAGCAGTGGCCTCTGATGTCAGCCTCGTGCTACAGCTGTTCTTCACTGGCTGTGTATCCAGCTGGCTAGGCTACTGTTCTCATGTAAGGAACGTATATATGTAAGGAAAATATATATGTTTGTATTTTCTTTAGACCATATACATTTTTAATTTCCCATACAACAAAATAATGAAGTAACTCGAATGGCATTTTTGCAAGTGCATTTTTAAAAAGAAAAGAAAGTGGTATATTTAATAAGCACCATATGCAACACATAACACAATGAATCAAAATGGATCAAAAAAATAGGCACAATATCGAAAATGCATATTAAAAATGTAAGCGGCACTGCAGGTTCAGAGCAGAAGAACAGAAACATGTAGGAAATTAAGTACAGTTTAAACATTTACATCAAGATTTGAAATCAGGATTCTCTATATTTCTCTGTGTACTTTTATTCACTTCTGAGTTTTTCTCTATTCTGTTATCTGCTACATCTATAACATCTATTGATAATGGCATAACTGTAATGATTTGAAAGCTCAAAATCTGTGACATTCCCTCTTCTGGATTTTAGTGGTAAGACACACAAATATTTAAACTGCAAAAAACCTTGTGGAGATACATTAAGTGTGCATAGGAGGCTGATCCTTAATGATCTTCATGAGATCAGAACAGTATTGGAAATTTCAGTAAAGTCGGTCTATGAAATTTCAATATTGTACAAAATACACAGTATTTTTTTTAGTCTGCAAATGTTTATGTAACTTTTTCTTCACAGTTTTGTTAGATATTTGTCGAAAGATGATGTACACTA